GTTATGGCTCACAACTAATGTTGAAATTAAAGAGCTTGAATGAGAACAACATTGAAAAGGGAAGAGAAGAAAAGAAATAATCTTCATCATGGTTCCGTTACACATACGTACACTGAAGCGAAGCCAAATGACGCGTCGTGTCACGTTTGATACATGCCGATGACAAATGTCGCTACAGTTCCCTTCGCATCCCTTCTCGTCAGTGAGCTAGCAACTTAAAAGTGTCTTACTCTATAATATGGGAAGAAGCGTTGTATTCTAATCTATGCGAGCAGTAAAATGACTTATCGCATTTAACATAACCCTTTGGTCACCGCAAAACTTAAAATACCAAAGTATAAGAACTCCTATAAAGGATTCAATGAGAAAGAAAAACAGAGAGAGAAAGAAAGAGATGGCATTAGCAGAAATGAGAATAAGAATCAATATCGTTTTAACATGGAAGAGAAATAAAAGAAATTAGTTCCGTTGCTATATTGGTAGAATTCAACGGATTCGAATAGATTAGGAACCAAGCCTATGTTCACATTGCTTTTTTGTCGTCAAAATTGCGTAAATTTAGTACATACTCTTGACTCATTTGTCTACCAAAGCCTACCAAAGTGCAACAACATAATAGTTATATATAATCCTTAAATAGGTTCTCCTACTTAGTCTCAATGCATTGGTGGGACCGCTCAGAATCACCAATCACCGACGATGAGAATGCGATTGAGATTGCTGGTTGACGGTTATCCAGACGCTGTATTCAAGCTAGGCCCTACATGGGCTTTATATTATAGAGTGAACACGTTGATTGCTAGAAAATTGAGGAGATCGTGCCAAAAATCATGTAACCAGTAATTTTAGCCCCTCAAGTCTAAACAAATGGATGCTTGGGTGTCGCTAATTTACAAATATTTACCACCCACTTCCCATTCTTAGGTCAAACGTATCAGCAGTGAATGTCAAATTCTGTAATCCACCTATCAACTATTTATAATATAGCATATATAGTACCTATCACAATATAGTGTACTTATACAGCGTCTATATTCATCACAGGCGTCTTTAAAAGCACCCATGCCTGATAACGGAATATATATTGTATATTCCTTGTTACCGAACCATCTAGAGGTCCTGACATACCGGTAATAAGAATTCTTATTTTCATAGACACGACATCTCGACGATGGATCGTGCTTTTCCGACGTTCCCATGAAAGCATGAAAGCCAGCAAGTCCGTTTTATGGCCCTGTCACGGCGCCTAACCTGTTGTGATTTGTTGGTAATGCACCTGAAGGCCGGTGATGCCCATTGGGTGGTAATAAAGGTACAAACAGGTATTTGTACCTGTGACCTGTAATTTTTTTAACTGGCCACTTGCAACCCTCGTACAGGTTGTTATGATGGCTTTGTCGATGACTGATGGTATTGTTAGATAGGTAAATGTTATTTTGATTTATTGACGGACACCTGAAGATGGAAGATTTACCTAATCCAGATATTAGAATTTTGTTATAAGCAATGCGTTGAAAAAATACACAGTTAAAAATTGTACAAAGGAATGATAGAGGTAAACGACATGATCTGAGAAAAGTCAGTTTATTTTCTATGGCTCAAGGGAAAATAATGCGATTGTGTCCCAGGGATCAGTTTTTACACCAAATTGTCCGATGCTCATTAAAAAGATCCTTGAACATTGATACAGTTTTTCCTTGCATCTCAAAAGTTAAAAATGTCCCTAACATTGCACCATCGTACAAAATGAGAAATCGATAAGAACCAGCCAAAGCAGCAGTTCCAGAACCCGCATGGCAGTTATTTTGGTCCTTGCAAGTATCAGACACACCTGAATTCACTAATAAGTATATGTTGAGAACGAGAGCTCAGCAGGAGTTATGAGCAGTACTTCTCTTCATCCGCACAGTGGGTTATTCTGTGCGAATGCTCATTAGAGGTAACGAGCCCAACCTTTTTGGTCAGTACCCAATATCTACCATCATAAAGATACGCTGAGCCAGTGATCACTATCGCAATATCGCAGTCCCATCTCCTGATTCATATACTTAGGGTGTTTCCTGCTAAAGCTCTTCCATTCAAAACAAGCAATGCCTGAACTCTCACATAGTATCTCTCGCCATAAACCGCGAGATATTAGCAGTACGGGGACCGGGGACCGTAGTATCACCAAGCATCCGCTAGCCGTATCAGCGAGCGTACCAACTCGTTCACACGATACGGTACGGCACGGGAATTTAACCGAAACGACATTTTAACCGAATCGGGTCCAGTGTTCACACGATGCGGTATAATATTTTTGCGCGGATACGCTTCTTGTCAGTTGTTGATTGAGTTTGGCACAATGAATGCAAATATGTTGGTTTTAATGTATTGGTATCGTAGACTCTGTAAAAAACGAGTAATAAGGAGATATTGGGAACACCCTATTATTAGAGAAAGATTTAATTTGGGGTCCTTCCGGACACTTATGTGTCAATTAAGAAGAGATGAAATTAAATTTTTCAATTATTTTCGGATGTCTTCCTCTACGTTTGATGACCTACTTAATAGAGTGAAAAAAGACTTAACTCGAGAAGACACAAATATGAGAACATGTATCAGTGCTGAGGAAAAATTGGTGATATGCTTAAGGTAGGTGTCATTTTTTAAAAACTTTATTTTATATACAAATAAACAAATCAAAAATTGGAAATATCTAGATCTAAAATAGAATCTTGGCTTGCAACAGACTGTGTAGAGGGTGACGGTTCGGCAGTATATGGACTAGTCATTGGTGTTGTTACTCTTGAAATTGTTTGTGGCTGTGGCTGACTGTAATAATCATGATTTTGCCAATTATTGTAATAAGTGGCAATTGTACGCGATGGCATTTGAATATTATCGGCCAACCTTCGCTTCTTTGCTCTCATATTTTGCAATAAACTTAACACACTCGACTGAAATTCCAAAGTTTCATCTTCATCAAACGATGATAATGATGGAAGAAGACTTTTGAAGAATGTAAGATGACGATTTTCATCCTCTTTGACTGTTGAAACCTTGGATAAGTTGATTTGATGGTCTATGAATCGCATCATTTTGGCATCAACTTCATTAATACTCCTCTTTCTGCGTGCAGTAGAAGTACTGATGGGAGTACTACCAGACTGATTTGCTTCCATATTCGGTTGTTCAGGTGGAACACTCTCTTCAATAACTTCTGCATCCAAGTCTTCTATCTCGGTGTTATTTTCATTATTAGTGTTTTCATGACAAACAGTTGAATCTGTAATTTTTTTCAGGAATGACATCTGCTCATTATATATATAAAGTCTTGAAGGTTTGGTCGATGTGCCACTTGTTTTTTGGTCTTTATGTTTTTTCAATGCTTTCATCCACGAGTCTCGAATGTATGTCCACTTTTTTAAAATCAGCTTACCTGGAACAAATAAAATAAAACGTTCCTTCCTTTCAGGTATCTAGCATCTGGGTGTTCGTATAAAGATCTGCATTACTCCTACCGAGTTGGTGTCTCAACAATTAGCAATATTGTGAGAGAAGTTACTCGGAGTATATGGAATAATATGGGTACTAAATTTATGGCATGCCCTGATACGCCAGATAAATGGGAGGAAATAGCGAATGGATTCTGGATGAAAACGAATTTCCCGCATTGCCTCGGTGCGGTAGACGGGAAACATATAAGACTGAGAAAACCCGATAACACTGGCTCTATGTACTTCAACTACAAAGATTACTTCTCTATTGTTTTATTAGCAGTCGTAGATTCAGAATATCGTTTTATATACGTGAATATAGGGTCCTATGGAAAAGATTGTGATTCGTCAATCTGGAAAGAATCTACATTGTGGAAAAAGTTGACACAGGGCGCTTTAAACATACCAACACCCAGACCTTTAGAACAGACACAAATAAATGTACCCTTTGTGTTTATTGGCGATGAAGGTTTCGGATTGCATGACAATTTATTAAGGCCTTTTGGCGGTACACATTTAGACAAGAAAAAGCGAATATTTAATTACCGACTTACTCGCGCTAGAAGATATGTTGAATGTGCATTTGGCATCTTAGCTAATAGATGGAGGATATTTCATCGTCCTCTAGATGTTAAACTAGAAACAGCAATATGGATAGTAAAAGCGTGTACTGTGTTACATAATTTTGTCCGAGAAAAAGACGGGTTTAATTTTGAAAACGCTCATTTGCCAGAAATCCACCTTGACAACTTACCAAAAGCACAAAATATACGAGGAGGACTATCTGCCAATTCCATAAGAACAACTTTTGCTGACTATTTTCTAACAGAAGCTGGTTCTGTTTCTTGGCAAGATGAAGCCATCGGTTAGTAAATTTATGTATGTCAAAATAAACAATAAAATACTTACCAAAAGCCTGCCTCTCCTTTTGTTCCATATCTTCGAAATTCTCCTTTAACAGAGAACATATCTCTCTCCATGCTGACGACTTTAAATTTTTGTCTTTATATGTGTCAAGTGTTTTATCCCATAAAGCGGGTCTCGCTTCCACTAAACTTATCAACAGCTCCGTATTTATTTTCTCCATTGTATATATGTAGGTATATACCATAAATATGAGCAAACTATTTAAAGCCGAAAACAAGTGCCGTTCGGCAAGATAATCGAATCGCGACTGGAGGTGAAATGGCCAATATACATTGTACGTGCCACTGAAGGCCGATTCGGTTTTTTTCCCGAACACAACCGCATGCGACCATACGGTTGCCAGTGGCGCGAACCGAATGCAAGTCCGAACGAATCGGCAGTTTTCCCGTATATGGGGTACGACCGCATCGTGTGAATATGCAGATTTAAAATATTGCGCCACTGCGAGATTCGATACTTTTACCGGTTCGATTAAATGATCGTGACCGAGTCGTCTGAACGAGCTGTACCGCGGCGCGGTTATCTTGGTCGGGTTGCGGGCGGCAAGAGTCCGTGGGCGTGAGCTACGCGGAGGGCGTCAAGAAACACGTGGGAACGCCGCGTTCACCGCCGCGGCGTCAACTACGTCTGAGCGGCGGCGGTACGGCGTCGTCGTGCACCTGAGTATGCGGACCGCCGACACTACGGCGCCACGGAGACAGACCACAGTCGACTCACCGGACAACACCAACTGTAGGTCAGCAGCTGGAACAAGAATCTTGTCTTTAAAAACAGAACTTATGAAAAATGTTCCGAATCAATTTTCAAATAAGATTAACCCGTAAGTACTACTATCGGGGTCTCCGGGACCCCTCGTATATTACTAGCGGCTGATTCCGCAAAAAATAAAAGAGTGGGGGTAACGACGCTCTGGCTATGTATTCCAGAGCCAGTGCACCCTCCAACGCGACAGTGATTGTATCTGCCTGATTTGAACGTGGGCCACAGTGACGTAGCATGGGTCCGTCGGACCCCATAGTAGTCAAAGTGTGATAAAAATAGGTAATGCAGTATTCTATTTCATTATTACTATGATCATATTTAGAGACTAATTATGGAATACTGGGTATAGTATTATATTATACATAAATATACACATCAATAAATCTTTATTACGATGTGATTGCAGAGTTCCATGTAATATTTTTGCATACCTTCAACCTATGACAGTGTTCTTATGATTTTCAGATATAAGCAATATGGCTAAATCATGGAAATCGAAACTATCAGATGATGACTTGAGGAAGATAATAGAGAGTGATAATTTTTGGGATGACAGCGATATAGGCGAAAATGATGAAATCGATGCCAGCGCAAGCGATGAATTAGATACACTTCAACAAATAGTAGATACAGGCGACCAAAGTGACTCTGATGAAAAAGATGTAGAGATACTCAGTCAACATGATTCTGACAGCGAGCTAGAATGGAACCCAAGTGACGATGAGGAAAAAGTTGAATCATCAAAGGTAACAAAATCCAGCATGTATTATTACGGGAAGGATAAAACCAAGTGGTCCATGGAAGCACCAGGACGTACAAGAACTTTGTCCCATAACATCGTAGCTGTGCTACCTGGGCTAAAAGGTCAAATTCAAAACAGCCCACCGCAAACACCGTTAGAGACATGGGAACTTCTTTTCACAAATGATATTTTGGAAATGATTGTGCAACATTCAAATAATAAAATTGATAGCATGAGACGTAAATACAAAAAGTTCAAATATACAAATGTACCGCGCAAAATCCGAATGAATGCTGCTGACATATTGAGGTTGGCATTGGAAGAACCTACTGAACCTAATGAAATACCAAGCAGGTCAAAAAGACCGAGATGCCGCTTATGTCCACGAAACAAGGATAGAAAGACGAGTAATATATGTTCAACTTGCAAAATACCTGTTTGCCTTTACTGTTCCAAAATAATATGTAACAACTGTATTTGATGTGCTTTATTTCTGTAAATAACTTATATATTAAACATTTTAACTTTAGCAAAAGAATAAATTGTTTATTTCTCGCTTACGGAGTTTTTATGAACAACAATTGAAATGGGTCCGTGGGACCCCATAGTAGCAGTAATGGAATAAATATTGGTTAGTAGTACTTACGGGTTAATGTATGCCATGATTTGGAAAGAGCATGTTGAGTACAATGTTACCAATTCATTGTGGGCTTGCAGACGTGTTATCGGAGTGAGGTGGGGGCTTAAGCTCAAAGTGGTACACCGGCTATATACGACGATATGGCTCCCTGGTTTCGTGGTCTTCCATTGGAACCGAGACAGCTAAGTCCAAACTCAATAAAATTTAGCGTTTGGCTTCTACCAGTATTACAAGCGTAGTGCGGACAACACTCTTGAGTGCAATGTAAGCTCTGCTGGATCTCCCACCGTTGGATTTAGTGATCGGCGGAGACGCGACAGTAGTCGCACATGAACTGTGGGGTCAGGGCAGCTGGACACATGTCAAGGGTCACACTGCCATCTTTGTCCTTCTGAGCAGGGGTGATCTGATCGACCCTAAATATCACTTTGACCGCAAGTTTAATGTGGAGTATCCGACGAGGGCGCAGTCTAACTCCGGAAGCAGGAAGGTCTCCGAAAGAAGTGGGCTGATCTGGTACTCAGACGGCTCGGTTACTGAAGAGGGCTCAGGCATCACGCGCCGGAGTCCTTGGGCCTAGAACTAGGCTATCTCTACCTCTCGACGGATAAACCACTATTTTCCAGGAGAAGAATAACAATCTTCTCCGACAGCCAGGCTGGGATAAACAATGATATGGCAGGCGCTCTTGTGAAAGCAGGGCCAGTGAGCAGGCTAGTTGGTCCTGAGCCAGCCCAGAATCAGGAGGAAAATGGAGAAGTGGATTACAAGACAACGCAGAAATGGAGAAGCATCTCTAGACATCTTCGTCGGGCATCAGGGCTCATCGTAGGACCCAGTTGTTAGGGATGGGCGCTTTTGCTTATCTTTGGATAGAGCGAAGCTCAAGTTATTGCTGGGACTATTGTCTGACCATAAAACGATGAGGTGCCACCTGGATGTAATGGGGTGGCTGAGGTTCCCTTGTATCAGCGCTACGGGGTACAATAAGAGTCCTCGGTTCATGTTCTGTGTCGCTATGAGGCTCTGAGCTACTACTATACTGAGGTCCAGCACTTTGGATCCCCAGAATGTCGAGGAGCTGGGACTCATTGTTATATTCAACTTTGCTAGAGGAGGAGCTTGAGGCTTAGGGAATGTAGGGGTGGATGAAGGCCCGTTTATGTGGCCTATGTGCCGGATCCTTATGGTGGCCGGAATGCCTCTAGTTCCGTTCATTCATTCATTCATTCAACTTATGCCAAGACTAATGGAATTACTGCTGCTTCTGCCTCAACAAGATAGATGGAATAACTTATTACTCTGAACTTTCCACCTTAAGCCTTTTTCATCTGTGAGCCTAATAGCAACATGGTTGATGAACTCGACGGACTAATTCCAACAACTTACATAGAGCGTCAATGTTGGAAGTATTGCGAGTACTTAGTGAACCCCTGTGTGACAATGGAACGCCTATGTGGTGGATGTTCCTGTTTGGCTTCATAGAAGCAGACATTGTCATCCAGACATGCCGGGAAATTTTAGTTTACTGGTAATGGTAGATCGTGCTTCGCGCTGTCTTATTTCTAGAGATCTCATAGCTTTGATAGTGTCTAGATGTTATGCTTTCATTCGTTGTCCCAGCGACGAGAGACGAAGCCCAGACCATGCTGATGAGTAGCCAAAAAGTCCATGCTTGTCTGTCTTTGGTTGGGCGGACGAAAGTAACATGTTTAGTTTAAAATGTAGCTTTCTGCTGCCGTACGTAAGAGTCATTAGATCCTATACTGTCGAAACTACTCATTGGTAGAGTGTCACTTTTGTTTTATTTTTCGCACATCACATGTTGAAAAAAACCTCGTCTGCCTCCAAATGATTAGATCTATACCGTACCGATGAATGTTAAAAAGCTTGAAACAAGAACGTATGCGGTTGGTTCTGGTCACAGACACGGAAAGTAAACATATTAGGTCACACCTCTTCTTTTTCTGTAGTTTGAATAAGGTTGCCCAGGTGGACAAGGTACTTCGATCAGCTGCGGCATGTCGCGTTCTTAAGCAAAATCCTAACCTACTCTAGTCAAATACGAAAATGGAAGATAATAATATAACACATCGTACATCACTGCTAACATGATGGCGTGTGTTTGAATACGCGCGCACGGAGTTTGTCAATGCAAAGACACGGGTTAGCAGTGGCGTACGATGTCTTATGATACCCTTTTCCATTCTTCCAAGATCCTCATTCGACTTGTTTAGTTATCGTTTCTTATCAGCACTGTAAATCCGATCTATAATTTCACAGATTATCACGCTTTGCGTCATTCGCTGATCTGTAGGCCATGGCCGTGCCCATTAAATATCAGCAACGGGAGCCTGCGAACGCTCAAGAACACCTTTCTGCTAAAAGACTTTGAGGTTATTATTGCCTGGAGACATCGGAATGCTGTGAAAATCAATATTTTGATATTGCACCTTATGAAATATAATGCATACAAGCGAGTACCATAGGTATGCGAATGGATCATCTCCAAGAAGTTAAGGCACTCAGTTATTTCCAAAGTTTTTATTATCATGAAAGAGCTTGGACTTACTTGCTGTTCAAAAGAAAAACTCTCTTTGTATTATTCACTGACAGCTATCCAGTTTTATAGTTATCCATCTGAACAGCGTTAATAAGTTTTTCATTTCTAGCGCTGCACTCGTGTAGTGATCTGTAGTGTGTTAGCTATAAGGCTGATACCGAAAAGGAAGAGAGCACGGCGCGGCGTGCCCGACGTATTCAAAGAGATGCCGCGGTGGCAATGGCGTGCAATGTGTTTTAATGTTCTCTTCCTTTTTGGTACCGTAAAAAACCTACGCCACGTGTACTCGGTGTGAATGACTTCTAAGGGAGGAATGGAATAACGACCTATAGTATAGAACATATCTTTTAGGCTATAGAAGCTATGAATGACCTTCAGTTTCGTTATAACGGTGCTGGTTGTCCTTAAAAAAGAAAATTATAGATTTTAACTTCAACATCAGTTACGCTAACAACATTTTCACATTTATCAGTCCTCAATAAGTCTCAGGGAAATCGAAGCAGAATAGTATGAGCTTAATGTGTATGAGGCAATGTTTCTAGTTTCACGATTAAATGCCTACCAACATAAACATTTGCTTTTAATAATTTTTTTGGCTGTAATATTTAATTTATCCAAATCTACTTCCAATATACAAAAATCTTCAACAAGCGCACGAACTAACAGCTCGCCACACACAACTCACGACTAGTACAGGTATAAACGCTGAACGGGGCGAAAGAACGTTTACCTTGCTGCTCACCTTTACATCTCTTACAAACGCCAACAATAACAACCACAGGCCAGCCATGCAGCCATCGATGGCGATGCTGAGGAAAAGCAAAGAAAAAAAAAACAGCTTAGGCTTGGCCATGGTGAGATCGACATTCATGATGCAGCTGCGAAAAAAATCTGCCTTCTGAAATGTATGGTACTATTCTGAGGTTCCACCTAAAAGATAACATTGAAAGATTTGAAAGGATTGAGGTCTAGCATGAAAACTAACGTACTGCCATAAAATTTGTCTGTCAAGCACAAATTGTCCG